AGCATCTTGGAGTAGTTTGACAATACAGTAGCTGAAATGAAATGAATGTCTAAGAGCACAGTTACTACTAAGGTGAATTATGGCTATTCATTAGGCTGTGAAAATATTTTTCATGTTTTTTTGAAAACAATTAAATTACACCCAAATGGGCATCTGAACACCATCGTTCAGCTAAATTATATAACCATGTGGCAGGCAGACTGCAGTTGCGCTGGTCTAACTTATCTGGAAGAGGAACGCGGTAGTTTTCTACACACCGTGTGTTAATTTCAACATGTGTAGCACATTGAAGTATTCATTTAAAACTGTAACGGTGTATTTCTTGACGAAATAGAGTCAAAATCTTGGTTTTATATAGTACAATAAATTTCGTTGCTACAATTAGTAGTACTAAATATTTCAAAACCAAATTCGTCGTACATTCTGGCTGAATATGAATTACTATAATATCGAAATGTTGGAAGTTAATGTAACTGAAAGATTTGCTTTGAATACATTAGGATCCATGTGAAATGGAATCTAACGTACGTTATTGAGGCTGATGGAATCAGCGAAGTGATGCATCCGTGTTCGCCTCGATGGGGTTGTTTGTAACAATCTGTATTTTGGGAACCAACTTACACAATGAATCAAAAGCTCTTCACGTTCTGAATTTAAAGTTAGTAGACTAAAGGAGAGAAAAACATTTTTACAGTCTCTCCACGATCAGTCTCGAAAGCCTCAATGTAGCTTGGATGGAGTGACATCCGTTCTTTAGGGTAACTACCTCTTTTTGGAGATTGTCGATTTGGTCCCTCCATCACATTCGTGCTCTCCAAAGACCCAAAAGAAAACCTCGAATCAACCTCGCCGGATAACTCCAAATCCTGTCAAACGCGAACGTTCACTAAACACAATATTGTGAACCTAGTTTGCTTCCTTCGTATTTCCACCGTCTAATAACTTTGTTTCTTTAAGCTCAGTGTTAACAAGCAATATTTTGAGTATGGTCTCTCAATTATCTCCCCTATTCCACAGTACTTATGACTAAGGAGTTTGCCTATTTACGGGAGATCATATATGCTATGTACTAAACAAATCGGCTCCAATGAATCATGGGACAGTTGATCACTCAAATTCTAGCATGCGTGCTTTTTGATATCAAGCATCAGCTTCAGCCTATCCAAACAATACCCCTGTGTTACAACGATCAGTTTCACATCTTGCCCCAATCTGAGTCAGTGCGGGTTTAAAATATTCACTTAGGAGTGAAATGCTAACCAATTTCTTCAGCGGTTTGCTCCCACTGTAGAGGCCTGTATCCAACAGCTAACGAGCATAAAACAGTTGTCATGTAATGCTAGGTATACACAAAATGAACATTAGTATAAGCTGCTGGCGTTAAGATTAGTACTATGAAATGCTCAAAACGGTGCTTCACAAATGTTTGCTCTCGCTATCATGCTAAATTCGGTCTTGTAAAGATAAATGAAAAACGGATTGAGAAGGTGTTGTCCTGACCAGACAAGGTTTCATAAGCACAGTGAATCGATTAACCCAACTCACTTCAATCTGGCCCAGAAAAATTCCTGTGTAACATGAATGTTCTGTCTGCTCTCTGCTCAATGCTAAACTACAACTTTGAGTACGAAAACTGATAAAATTAAGCATTTTGATAGAAAAACCTGTCGCTCATTCTGTTGAATGATCTCTTCTAATACAGTTGGATTAATAGTAATAATTGATTCATTCCTCGATCCACAATCCGGATAGCATGACGCACATCGCCGAGTAAACAAACCATTTCATTTAGAAAAGAGATACCGTGGTCTAAATGGTGTTCAACAGCAGTAGGCTGATTGTTTTGACCACCCAGCACAGCCCCCTTCCCTCGTTCGTCTGTTTGCATTGCATGTGAATTCGTTTGCTCAAGTTGTTTTTGTCTACATACCTGATACCCCTCGATTAATGGAAAAAAGTGTTAACTGAACTACACCGAAGACGTATAATTCTGCTGTTGTTTAGGCATCGTTAAAATTGATTAAATTTAACTGTATGGCGAAAATTTTGCATATCACGTGAACCGATGAAACGCTTGTTCTCTTACTCGTGTGTACATATGTGATCTCACTTATCATGGTAGATCGTGTAGCAGTGTGTGTTTGTATGTGTGTGTGTGTGTGTGTGTGTGTAGGTGTTTATTCGTTAGTCTGGTCTCCTGGTGTCATCAAAATCCTTCCTGTTGATAATGAATGAATAGTATAACGTTCTTATTGCCAATCGTAGGAGTATCTTCGAGGAATAATGAATAAATCGAATGAACATAGCCAGAAAAATATTTCAGCTTTAGGTTGCCTCTAACGGAACTGAAATGAGTGGGACAAAACAATGATGATTTCGTTTCTAAGACATTAGGTTAGTAGTAAACTGGGATTTTATTGCGGATTTCTCGTGTGTCAGACGACATTGTTGTTCTACTAATTGCGCGAGATGCTCTCACTAATCAGTATCACCCTTTGGAACACTAAATAACAGTTACATTTCTTGAAACCTCCAAACAGAAATAAAATTCGAGGATTTTGATTTGCTTCAAAATTGAAGCAACGGATGTACAGTGAAGCGGGTTATTTGCCATTCATTTTGGCTGGTAAATGGTCAGATTCCATTTACGCTCCCAGTTCGTAAATCCTCTAGTCAACTGAAGCACAGGCTTGAAATTGTATCTTCTTAAAATTCGTTAACAGTGCATACGCAATGGGGAATCCAAAGTTTGAACCTTGGTGTTTTCCTAATGAAACGGTACGTTTTGCCACTGTATCACTGCGCTAATCTGACAAAACTGGGGCTAATTTGCCGAAGTTACGCGCTTATTACGCATACACATATCCCATCGATAATCTTCCACCGTGATTCGACCGGTACGCATACATCTATGACAAGTTTAGTATTCGGAACCACCATATTCCAGTTTTGTGACACGTGATTGGTGCTTTGGTGATTTGTAAACCCTGCAAACTATTTGTAGTCGGTTTCTTTATATCTCAGAATATGAAAATGTCACTATTTTCTAACAAAGAACTAAACCTCCCGTCAACAAATAAAGTGACCCGGGAAACAGGGCTATCTGGCATTCCATGGAAGCAAAGCCTTTTGTTCGCCATTGACGCATGTTCCCGATAATATCACCGAACGTGTGATTTAACGAAAGTGGTTCATCGTTGTGGACGTTCTGATTCTTTTTGTTCCAAGGTCTGAACATAAAGCAACGATTTCGAGTCGCTTGTTTTCCGAAACTACCCTCTAGAAGTTGAGTTCAAGGTTGTGACGCCTCGACGCAATCCAAATACGATTGGATGGCAAACGAATTTCCCCGAGGTGGTTGTTGACGCGCGTCTAGATTTCACAATCGGAAATCTGTGAGAGCATGTTTAGTCTGTGTGAGGATTATAAAAAGGAGCCGTTTTAGAGAGACCCGTTTGTGTTCAGTCATGTTTTGTCTACAAATTTTCTACTATTTGCTCATCGTCGTGCTGCAATCAAATGGACATTTTCACTTGAAAAACGGTTTGTTAAACGTAAATTTGTAACGTTTATTGTCCGTTTGGAAGTGTCATTCCTAACCAGGATAATCTCTCTTCTCCGCTAATCGTTTTAGACCTTGCTGGACAAATAGGTAAGAATGATACTGTGTTAATCTGGAACGAGATGTGGGATATATACACCAATCTGTTTTCGTTTTTGAGTACACCAATGCTTCTTGTTTCAGTTGAAAGATAGATAATGCCGATAACAGAGAAGCAAAACCAGAAAACTATTCACGGAAGAAATTTAGTTCAAGAAGACTTTAAACGTGAATTTTAGGTTTCACATCCCACACAGTTATTCAGCTATCGTGGTAATGATGACTTGGTGATAAATTCTGTTATGGAAACGTACAAAAATATGAGTTAATTACGAAATGATTTAGAAAGCTCAGAACGAACACTTTCCTTGTCGGTCAGTATCCGGGGAAAATAGGGTACCAGAGTTTCTGTATGCGGATAGGTGAAACGGAATAAGTTTGTACTTAGAACTGTTAGAGGGGTAGGATTTGCATGCACACAAGTCAGTGTGTAGAGGACGGGTGCAATCAGATAGGATATTATCTGCAAACTTCAGACGCGCATCAATATGGACATTACACATAATACCAATTAGAACAGATAACGGAACTTGGGAGACACGGTTGATCATTGAGAGGTCACGCCTCTGCAACTTAAAATCAGCCTTCAGCAAACCGGGGAAAATTACAGGGGAGTAGTACAGGGGTTTGGGGAGGACACAATGTGGAACAAAAGCGTTTATCACCGACGAGTCAGAACAGAAGTGGTGCAGTCTTCTTATGTGAAAAAAGAGTCTTTTCAACTTGCGAGCAACAGTTTGGGTATGTAAGGACCAGCGAAGGTTACTTTCAAGTGTGACACCTAAAAGTACTTCACATGGCCGACTGTGCTCATCGACTTTCCATGGATCTGGATATTGTCGGAGGGATATAGGGTACGGTTTAGAGTAAAAATACATTGAAGGAATTTCTCAGGATTAAGATTAAAACCGGAAAAAGTGGAGTATGAAACGAGGTGGNGATTGGTTAGATACGGAAACAGAAATGGCGATATCATCAGCACAGTTAAAATGTCAAACAGGGGGGAGTAATAGGTAAGTCACTGATATAAGTTGAAAAAAGATAGGGTGATAGGACAGGACTTTGAAGTACACCCGAACTATTGAGTGATGCGGTTGACTGTCTTCTTTCCAATTTAACATACTGATATCCTTGCGAAAACTAATTAACAGAGAAACTGTAACTGGTGACTGAATAAAGACAATACTTGCTGTATACCGTATTTGAGAAAATTTTCATGGATTTATGTATCGGGTGTTCAGACAGGTGCTGCTTGAAGACACTGGGATTTAAGGAGTAATATGATCAGCTTTTGTGAATTCCGATTACTATAAATGTTTTACTCATTGTTCCGCACAATATGCTTCGTGTTCTTGTGCAAGGAGTGCTTTGCCAAGGTGTTCTGACCTATAAAAACCAAGAAGTTCCGTGGGATGACAAATTTCTGCACCTGTCGACTGATCAGCTGGAAATAAAATCTGAATTGCTCAGCAGTGCGGTAAGTGAACCCGATTTCATTCTGTCCTGCCAGTTTGAATTGTCGCAATACAGATTGGGATAAATTACCATTACTTTTGACGGAGTGATTGTCGAGTTATTCAGTCTAATAGCTTTGAGTTTCACATTATCTCAAATCGTAATTTTTGTAGTTCATATATATATGTATATATATATATGCATATTTAAAACTGGAAGGTTGATTATTTCTTAGCTCATTTTGTCATGATTTCTCTACCCTGGTAAACATTTTGATAAATAGTGATGTATTAGCCTGCGGATAAATCACCGCAAACTAACTTGTTCAATGGCATGTGGTTTTCCTACAATACAGAAATATCTTAGTGTAGGAAATAAAATGCGATGCTTCCGTTCACTAACCGCGTTCTTGTGAACGGGTTAGGAATACGCTTTGATGTAGATCAAAAATGTTTGTGGTCGATTTCCTGAATAGTGTCGCAAACGCAGGGACTGGATTCACAAGGTCACATGTAGACAAGTAGACAGTTGCTTCCGTGTAGAATATTATGTACGATCACCCATATTTTTGGAGCCAATAATTCCAAAGTAAATGATTTCATGAGCATTTTAATTATTGTTGATTTGCCCTGATGCGTTGATGACGAGGGCGGAGGCTAGGCGAGAAAAGAGAATGCAAAATATGAGCATTGTTTTGCCAAACTATAAATGAAGTTGTCTGGGACGGATTTGTATAACTTATCACAATTAGCTGCAATTTGGACGAATGGAATGACCAAATTGTATCCGGGTTAGAAAATGGAATAAGCACGCATACGTTCAGCGATTTTTATTGGTTTGCGGGCAGACTAACTTTATTCAGAATTTTTCTGTCGAAGTTCCAAAAAGTATTTTTGGCTTACTCTCACAGTGAGCAAAATAGGTGGGTGATATGGACTAATCGGTTTTGTTGAGCGAGCTATTAGTTGCTGCCCGGTAACACAATTACGGCTTCACATATGCACAGCCATTGCTCGAACTCGTGCAATAGTCTGACTTTCTTCAGATCGTCTTCTCGCAACAGTTAGATTTTTTAGCTTCATTCGCAGGCTTGAATATGGAATTACCCCACATCAGAACTGAACATGTCTGTCTACCCATGCTGTCGCTTCTTTAAGTTGGACGCCACTATTTCAGCGAACACTACCGATTTAGGTTGTAAAATAACGAAACCTCAGTGGGAAACGCTCATTAAAATCTGTCTACAAAAACAGCTCACACCGGTATTCTGCTGTTATTTTGACACTACCTTATGTGCCTTTTTCTGTTTTTGTGAACTTGGGACAGTCCTTTTGATTTGGAATGCACAAAGTTGGCAATCAGAACGCATTCGCTAATTTGTTCACATTCATGCCACACGCTTGCAACCGACAACCACTTTGAGCTAGTTTACTTACCTCTGTTCCCGATGCAAAAATAACGTTTTCGATGACATTTGAATCCGAGCAGGTGGAGGCTGTAACGGAATGAATTAAACTGTTCAACAAGGCAATTCAGAAACTGTTTGAATGTGGAAAAACAGTATGTCATGAGGTCAAAGAAATGTCTGTGATGAACACTAAAACTTATCTGGGNCATGGCGAGCTTGTTAGTCCTGCTTGATCTAGCACTATACAGAATCGTAAACGCGGGAGATGAGCTACAAAATGCTTAGTATTTAATGCCCACCCAACTCATTAGGTGGAATGCACATTTATTTTTTCGACAGGTGCTGTGGATTTCCTCGGAAAATCAGGTAAACTAAGTCACCTTTGTCAGACAAGTGTCCTGTGTCTCAGTCACTAAACATTGGTAAATAAAACTATTTGAATGTCAAAAGGTCAGCTGGTGTGCACGAAAAGGAATGAAAGATTAAGAAGTTAACAGCCGATTGGCTACGAAACGTTTGCAAATGTGTNNAATGTGTCAGGTATGTGACTGCGTGTGTACACAAGCGGATTCCATGATTACAACACGACCGACGAACATGATGCAAAACCAAAGGAAAACATCTGTATTTCGGTTCTCTTTACAGAGCTAATCAGTTTTGATCGTTGGGGAGTGGAAGTTGCCCCCCCCAAATCACTTCTACACAGAAATCATAACTTGACAACTCTTCCAGGTATCTCTTTATGCAACTCAAGTGCTTGGATTATTGAAAAATAAGATTTGTATCCATCATGAAACATTTCCTCCCGTTTAATTTAAGCTGTCGAACATCAACGATATCTCCTTTCACCGCGCATTTATTCGGGCTCGCCTCACGGCAGTTTACAAGATCCTCAACATGACGTTCGCGACTGCATTTCTGTACTTTCGAAGCCACCAATTGAAGAGCACTAATTCTAACGTGCTTACCAATACGTTAATAATGAGGCAATATCTACGGAAGCGATTATCTCAGAATCCAGAAGGATTGTTCTTGAAAAATATTGAAGTAAAACGTGAGTGATGATTACAATTCTAATCAACATTTGATTTGTTATTTCAGAATCCAACGTTCTGCAATTGTTATTAAAAGTTTTGTTGATAAAACCTAAAAGCCTTGACAAATTTTCATTAATCGGGTTGAAAGTACCAAAATCATCGTGGCTTTATCTGTGTTTCCAATACAGTCTTTGATCTTACTGCCAGCAAATGACTTTGAAAGAGAACTGAAATCCCTGTGACGCTTACTCAGGATAGAAAGATATTAGCACGGTCATTGAAAGTGTTTAATGAATTATATTATGTTATTGATTGATGGATCTCAATGGTGCTTAGTCCTCTAAGCGGTATGTTTTATAGGTTTTGTTGACCAATTATGTGTGAAATTTTGGATGAAAGAGATTAAATTATTCATTGCAGATCTCACTTGAAATAGAATTACGGTCAAATATCGATCTACTTCAGATAGCAAAAAATGACTATGTTTATTGACCAGTAAACTTTGCAGAGAATGCACGAACAAGCATCATACGATTAATAAACAATGAAAATTTAACCAATAATTTTGTCATTTGGGTTGTTCATTAGTAGATGTCTTCCGATATGTTATCCTGTTAACCTGATACCATTGAGTTCTCCAAGTCTGTTGCTTTTTCCTTCTGTTCCAGTTGCTGTTCAGTTCGAACGGGTAATTACAAAATGTAAGTTATTCTCTCCCTCCTCATAATAACCTCACAATTTTCACAAAATATTTCATGATAATCAACAATATCTGCTCTTATCCTGGTTATCTGATAGCCATACTGTGTGTGGAAAGATTATACAATAAAACCGTTTCCTTTGGTTGGACCTCGGACATGAATAACTGTTCATCGGACATGTATCTACGAATTTCAGATCAGATAAATTCAAAGGTAAATGATTTCAACATATTTCAAAGAATGATTCAGATATTGGCATAGGCAACACTTGTGTGCGACAATTTCTCCTATCCTTAGTCTTTTACCAAGTCGCGTTATTGAGCCGATATTCTAAACCAAAACTTTCAGCGATTGCTCGTGGAAACCTAATTTGGAATTGAAGTATTGTTTTGTATCAAGATGACCCTTGCGGGGGTGACTGTAGTGGATTGCTCGATAAAACGCAGCAGTTTGTCAAGTGAATTCGACCATGTTTTTTTTCCTACCAGTATCGACAGTCCTTGAGTGCAAAATTTACGGATACGGGGTTCACTTCAATTTCAACCAAACTGGTATCATCTCTGGACGATGAGAAGGGTGACGTAGTATCTGGTCTGAGCCTGCTGGAATTCGACTACTCAAGCATTTTATTATCTCACCCCAGTCCCTTGAATTCGGATTGGGAAGAGGCCTTTAGGAGGAACATGAATCACGCATTGGCCACCACTTATCGTAATGGATTACGAATATTTATTGAGGATTGTCTAGGTAAGATGTTGATCTGTTTGTTGTCATAAACGCCTTTGTTTTCATCGTCTCACTATAGTAGACTGCGTGCAATTAGCTAGTAAAAACCCGACTGAAATTCAAACAATAAAAGCTCTCTTTGCAACTGTAATTCACAATTACTTGACTATGTATGTATCTTTAAACTGTGTCTTCGAACAACGTTCACGCTGAGGAATTTAGCATAAACCTTTACCAGAACTTAGAGGTGAAAACTTCTTTTCGTTGATTCATCTTCTGGCCTGTACAGATCAAATAGGAAAATGGCATTTTGAAAGGGGATAGTCATTCAGTCATTCGAAAGTCACGGTGATTGATTGAAAGGGAAATGAATGGGGTAGTGGTGGGAGGAGGGTGGTACGACGTGTTTCACACCCCTATATCACCACAACAATGCAATCATTCGTCGCACCACCCTTTCCCCATCCCCACCTCATTCCTCTACCTTTCAATCAATCACCGTGACTTTCGAATGACTGAATGACTATCCCCGTTCAAAATGCCATTTTCCTATTTGATCTGTACAGGCCAGAAGATGAATCAACGAAAAGAATTCTTCGCCTCTTAATTCGTGATCTCATGTTAAAATGGGCGTATTCTGGAATTTTACCAGAATCTCAACACCCAGCACTACGTACTTCTGCAACTTGAGATCGAAGATTCGGGGGGTCACAGTTCCAGTCGTTTTGCTGCGTTTCTTCTGCCCCGTATGATTTCAGAACACTTTGAATCAACCTGTTTATTTACAAGGATGTGTTTTTCTGTATAATTGTAAAGGCACCCGTTCCATTTATTATAACTGCATAACAGTAAATTTTCCTGCGCAAACTAAAGTAAATTACCGAATGGTACAAATGGATAGAAAATACCACTGTGATAATTTCGAATTGTAATGCTTTACGACCACCTCAGTTCTGCTTGAGTGGACATGATATATATATTGTATCGTTTGTGTTTCATACAGCGGTTCCATCAGAGAAACAAAGTCAAACATTTGGTGAGTGTAAACGAGTAGTAGAAATTTTGCAATATGCTAAATATTTAGCTTTATGTCTCTGATTTGTGAAAAAATGCTACGTTAGACTGTTAATGAGTCTTGGCATATATAGTTGATGTTTAGCCATTCGGAATGCACATATTATGCTTAGGCGATCAATTGATTTTCATTAGATTTCCAGCTTACCAAACACTTAGTGGTTGTGGTAATGAAAATCATTAGTTTTATTCGTACTGCAGAATGTTTTGTGTTCACGTTTATATTGCTTGGTAAATTATAGACAATATGATTGTGGTATGGTCAGAATAAAGCTATGTAAAGTGGTATATGCAAAGGATAAACGAAATAGGCTTCAATGAGTCGTAATTTATAAACAAAAACTGAATAAATTGTAGTGTGAATGTTACAATGTCGGTAGAGAATTGTATTTGCCGACGTTTCAATAACCATGGGTAACCTTTCTCAAGGCAGGATCTACAATTTTAGTTCATGCCTTGATCAGGCACCTGGAATAATAAGATTTTTATGCTAATTAACCGGTTTATTTGATGTTTTGAGCAGGTCTGCTGCTTTGCACTTATATTCTGATTCACCGTTAAATGAGGAGTTTACTCTTTATTGAAATGCATCAAGTTAGGGTTAATTGAAGGTTTCATTCAATTTAAAGCAATTTTTTACCGAAATAAACTTGAACAAAGAACACAACAGTGCCAGCGAGCACGACTTAATTCCGAAATCATTTCGCTGCATCTCAGCTAGTGCTTACTGCAGAATACAAATCCGTTTATATATCACAGGTGTTGATAATCTAACATGATATCAATTCACTCTTCCGCTTACGTGGTTAACAGGACAATGACAGACTGATGTAGATCTCCTTTTGCTAACAAAGTAGGGGCTTTCGGTGCTTGATTGCTCTGGCCTCTACAAATCTCAGCAGCCTTCCATTCGAGGTCGTGTAAACAACCTGAAAAGAGGTTCCGCAGGCGGGTTGGTGGCCAGTCTGCTGCAGATGGCGAGCAATGGATGATGCAGGTGTTCAGTGCGACTGGCTTTCGTTCATTGAATTGATGCTGTTTTCTCGCTGTACATTAAATCTATACGGACACAATAACTCTGTGTCAATTTCTCGTGCATGCGAACTCTCATCCATTGATTAATGAGCGATCCACTGCATGCACGCGTGAACAGTTTCTCACGTATGTGCTTATTGCTTTTGTGCTCTGTGCAAACACTGTGTCGTCCAAGTACGCACACTCCCACCAACACCTGAATGCTTCACCTGTCTGTCATCTTTAGAGGAAGTATTAAAGTGTATTCTTTGTCAAACAATGAATCAATGAATGTTCACTTTTCTCTCATTTTGACCCACTTCACCACAACCAACAGACATTGACCTATTCGGTCAGATCTATTTGAGCGGATATCCTATGCATTACAATGAAAAACACTCGAATTCAAGTTCAAGCGATCACAAGTGGGTGGTGCAAATGATCAAGGAATCCGTGAGTAAAGCGCAGAAGATTTATGAATTAAAATTTAATCATACAACCAATGACATTGTGCTCTTATATCTTGTGTTTCCTGTTATCACTTCTTTGTATGAACATGGTTTCTTGAATAGCCGTTCCCACTGATACGGTTAGAGACCAGCAAACTATCTGATTTTGTTTTCTACGAGGATTTTATGCACGAGATACATTGTGTGTTCAAGCGAAATTCAACATTCACACGAATTTTTCCACGTAGGTGAAATGGGTCCTCCAGCAGCTTTTGCATTGGTCTCTATGATATCTGGTTAGCGATTAAACACCACGCTTCTTACCATTCCATTTATTGACTCCGGCTAGATCCCTGGATAAATAAGCTTCATAAGATCCTGCTTTTTCAAAAAAGTATGGTAGAGGACATATTGGCAAGATCATCATAGTTCCGCTAACTGTCGATCCAAAATATTGCAAAGATGAAATGGCCTCAACGGTGTTCAACTAATTCAGCGACCGAAGACTGATCAATATTTTGACAGATTGTTCCACTGCATAGCACAATTTGTTTTGGTGGTTAACAAGAAATGATTTTTGATTCAATCAAACTTTTTGTGACGTTTCCAGTGAAAGCAAAATGAAATCATGAGTTGAGTGTCCCAGTTTGAAACGCATAAACTATCCTTGTATGTGTTTTATTTACGTTTCAGCTTCAACTAGCCATCTTGCATACAACCGGGAGTCCATTGATCAGTCACGTGAATCAAATTTATCTGAACCCAAAAGCAAACGGGGAGTTGAACGCCTTTGCGACAATACACATGTGGACTGAAAAGACCATGCGGAAGTGCGGCTGCAAATTTCAACAGTTGAAGGAGTACTCTCTAATTCAGCTGAATAATGGTCTAGTAAAGTCGTTCTCCAACGGTTTCAAATTAATATATCCTTTGTTCGGGAAGAATTTGAGATGAGTGGATATTTTTGGTCAAACATAATAAAAAAGCCTTGGATTCAGTAGTGTTTATTCTCAGTTTTGTTCATGGTATGTTTAGCAAAAGCTTCCTATCACAAGTTATCCAATTGGGATTCTTTGGTATCATCGAAAATGTGTTAAATAAAACATTTGAGGATGATTTATGCAAAGGTAGATTGCTACGCCCTTCGTTAAGTCCTCTTTTAAATAAGATGTGAAAAAACGAGAAAATCATTTTCTTTTCGGGTTAGTTTAGTCTGTGCGAGTTATTCTCAGTGCATTTTGATTGGTCTGCCGGGCAGACGAAATGAGGACCTGTGTTCCCATTGCGCCAACTAGGCATTAACCGGAATCGACATTTTAACTATATTCACACATCCACAGGCAGTAGTTTCCCCATCCTCAGTCGAACAGGAGGAACCCACGATGTTTGATACGTTGATTAGGTCGGTGTCAAATTGTACTGTGCAACTCATTGTCTGAGCGCATTTTTATGTTTCCGTTGTAACGCGCAAACCACTGACATCATTCTCGTCGGGGGAAACATCCACAAAAGAAGTAACCGCACTCAGTAAGAAACACAGGTTTGTGTTGGTTTTATTGTGTTCCCCGAGGTGAAAGTGTTGTTCGCAGACGTTTCGTGGTCATAAGTCCTCGGTGCGGCTGGGTTTATATGGCTTTGTTCAAGGGTTTTCAGTGGTCGCTTGCGTCCCTTCAATCCTATTGGTCAATTGCGAACATTTACTGGGATTTGTTTGACTAGTACACTGTCATGGTGGGCGAGATTGGTTGATAGGCTTTCTTGGACCAATCCCGAACCGATCTGAACTGGTTCCAAACTGGCCAGAACCAGTTCTGAACCGGTTGTGGCTGGGGACGTTTTCGGTCACCAATGCTTCACTAGAGAGTGATAAATGGGATTCAGTTCTGTATGCTTGTCTATACTATCGCTCCGAAGTACCGTACTTTGACGAAATCCTGTAAGGGATTTTGTGTTCCTTTTTCCGCATAGTTTTGCATGATTTTGATTACCCAAGTATAGATGTGGGTTGAAATTTGTGGCCTCTCATGTGTTTTGATCGCCATGGTATGTTCTACTGGTGCTATGTTCCATTGTCGAGTGGTTCGTCAGCCATAGTATTTCTTGCGGTCTCGAAGCTTTAGTTCATGTATGATGTTTGAAGAATATCGTGTTGGCAGTTGATCTTTTAGTCTGCATTTGATAGCCTTCATTCTCGCCGTTGTCTTGTGTGTAATCAAAACTTCTTATGGTTGCAACTATCTGGTTGCCATTTCCGAGGCTACTGGTATACATGACAGTGTTTTTTGTTTACTCATCGATCGTACGCCTGGTTGCACAATTTTTGCTTCTCCCGGAGCTTTCATTGTCGTTCTATGTATAAGCAGCGTGGGACTAAATTTTGTGGGTATCAAAACACCTCAAAAAGGTGGGCTTCCTTTGCCTTGGAGTGTGGTGAAATGTGTTTTTCTCTTGTGTGCCAGGAGGCAGTTGCTCTTGACAGCCGAGGAACTGATCCGTGTAGGTTATATTTCGGTAGATATCAGCTTCCAAATTCCCATGTTTATTTCGTTTGGCTGATAGATCCAAAAAGGGTTGTTGTCTGTCCTGTTCTTTGGCTAAGTTGAAGATGATTCCGGTGAAAAAAATTGTAGATTCAGCGGTGTGTCTGTTTCAGTTGGCTAAATATTTTTAAGTTGTTTTTGTTGTTGTTGCTGTTGTTTTTAAGACAAGGTTGTCATCAATTGGCCTGACTGACAATTTCTAGTTGATGACCGAAATTGTAATGGACTTCAATCTCTACACAAACTTTTCCGTGATGAGTTCAAAAATCGGTTATCCTGTCGGGGTGCTTCGTATCTGTTCGTATAACTGCCCGTTGAATTGAAAAAGTTCCAGCTCGAAGAACAATCCAATACCAACATCCGAATCCCGAGCTACATTTATTTCACAATAAATCTAGTACTTTTTTGTATTTATTATCTGGGGTACAGATAATTGGTAAGCAGTATTCGGACCTTTCCTAAAGTATATTTAAAGGGTTTGCTGAAATGGAAAACAGCTTAGCTTTCTCAATAGCTTAACATGGACTATT